GCTGATTATGGCGTACAGCTGAAGAAAACTCAAAAATCCGATATTCTAATATTTTGAGATAGGATATTTGGGTTTCTTAAGCTGTAAGCCATAATCAGCGATATTAAAACAATAAAAGGCTTGTGATATTTCAGTTGATTTGTAATGAATCCAGAATGTATGACATTTCATGTTTTTTAATTGCATTACAGAAAATAAAGAACTTTATCACAATATTCTAATTTTCTGAGACAGTCCTGTAGATACACCTAAACGACAGATTCCTGTTAAAAGCTTCCGATGTTTTAAATTGTCCCCCTCTCTGGGGAGATGAGGAATATGGGTTCCAGTTAGCTTCATCCTTCAACCCTCAAAGGTCCCTGCTTGACCTTTAACCTTTTCAGAATCAGAATCAGAAATACTTTAATAATCCCAGAGGTAAATTATTTTCAACCCCAGATATACAACAGCATACACATGTTATATTGATATATATATATATATATATATATATAACATTCCACACAAAAATATAAATAAATAAAATATAAATAATATATAATACATAAATATACATATGTAACTATATGTATATATACAGATCTAAAATAGATTATAATGATAGTGTGCAGCAGAATCAATAAATGTCATTAAGGGTTAGGGTTATGTATATACGGTATATATATATATATATTTCCCCCAAAAAATATAAATAAATAAAATATCTATAATATATAATAAAAAATATATACATATACATATATATATAAAAATATACAGATCTAAAATAAGTGATAATGATAGTGTGCAGAAGAATAAATAAATGCCATTAATTTAGTAAGAATTACAGACAGTTTCTTGGTTATTTTAGACAGTTTTAAGCAGAAAAAAATGAGAATGAGTTTATTTTCCCCAGTGAGTCAAAGCTCCTGTTTCCCTATAATACAACCAAACCAACTTAGATTTCCCTTTCAGAGGTCTTTAAATCCCCAGATGAGGTTTTATTGTTTATTTATTGTTAAGGTTTTATGAATTCCCTCTCCCAGAGGACGCCGTCTAAATGTATATACACAGATCTAAAATAAGTGATAATGATAGTGTGCAGAAGAATAAATAAAAGCAATTATTCTAGTAATAATTATAGACACTTTCTGGGTTATTTTAGGCAGAAAAAAAGGAGAATGAGTTTATTTTCCCCAGTGAGTCGAAGCTCCTGTTTCCCCATAACACAACCCAACCAACTTAGATTTTTTTAAAATCCCCAGATGAGGTTTTAATGTTTATTTATTGTTAATGTTTTCTAAACTCCCTCTCCCAGAGGACGCCGTCTATATGTATATACACAGATCTAAAACAAGTCATAATGATAGTGTGCAGAAATATAAATAAATGCCATTAATTTAGTAAGAATTACAGACACTTTCTGGGTTATTTTAGGCAGTTTTAGCCAGAAAAAAAAGGAGAATGAGTTTATTTTCCCTAGTGAGTCGAAGCCAACTTAGATTTCCCCTTTCATGACAACTGACTTTTGATCACATTTTCTTTTCCTCCTTTCTTCATCTCAACCCATTGAAAATTTTACTTCTCAGTTTTATTTTGTGGTGTTTTCTATTTATTTATTTATGTTATTCTTACTACTCTCTCTTTTTTAATTGTCTATATACTTTTTTATTCACACGTTTGTGTGCAATAAGAAAGAAAGATGTGGGTTATTACTGATCTGTAGCATAATCTTGTAGGACTGGGGAGGGCTGGGGAAGGGAGGGAATGAGTGGTTGTTTTTGTAAAAAGAAAAAAAAATCCTTATTTTTCCGTTGTTTTTACTTGACCTTGTCACGTGAATAAAAACATGATTTAAAAAAAAATAAATTAAAAAAATAAAAAGATTTCCCCTTTCAGACGTCTTTAAATCCTCCGATGAGGTTTTATTGTTTATTTATTGTTAATATTTTCTAAACCCCCCCCCCAGAGGACGCCGTCTATATGTATATACACAGATCTAAAATAAGGGATAATGATAGTGTGCAGAAGTATAAATAAATGCCATTAATTTAGTAAGAATTACAAACAGTTTCTGGGTTATTTTAGGCACTTTTAGCCAGAAAAAAAAAAAACAACTTAGACTTTTTTAAATCCCCAGATGAGGTTTTATTGTTTATTTATTGTTTATTAATTGTTAATATTTTCTAACCCCCCCCAGAGGATGCTGTTTTTGCGGAGCCGGGCCTGGGCGGCGGGCCCATGGCGGCGGGGGCCGTCTACACGCTCCCCCCGCAGCGCAGCGCCCCGTTGCCCCCGGCGATGCAGAGGCTGGTTCCCACGGCGACGGCGGGGGGGAAACCCCGCAGCTTCACGCTGCCGCGGGACAGCAACCTGCACACCCTGCTGCTGCCCCCCCCCCGGGAGGAGCAAAAACACAACGGTGGGTGGGCAGAAAAGGGCCCCCCCACCAAGGGAGAGGGACCCAGAAAGAGGGGGGATGTATTTTAGGATTCAGGCACGAATATCTAATAATAATAATAGTCAAAAGAGGAAAAGTCAAATCAGGGGTTGCATTGTTTTCTCCAGTTTTAAGTTGTTTTTTTTTGTTGTTTTTTTCTACCAAAGCGAAGCGAAAAGGGACTTTACCACTTCTACGAGGGGGGGGGGGGGATGTATCTGGGGATTCAGGCAGGAATATCTAATAATAATAATAGTCAAAAGAGGAAAAGTCAAATCAGGGTTAGCGTTGTTTTCTCCAGTTTATATTTATTTTTTTCATTTTTTTCATTTTTTTCATTTGGTTTCTTTGGTTTCTTTTTGATTTTTTCTGTTTTACCAAAGCGAAGAGGACTTTACCACTTCCACGAGGGGGGGCTGTATCCGGGGATTCAGGCCTGAATATCTCAGCCAATAATAGTCACACGAGAAGGAAAAAGAGGAAAAGTCAATCAGGGGTTGCAAAGTTTTCTCCAGTTTTAAGTTGTTTTTTTTGTTTTTATTTTTTATTTTTTATTATTATTATTATTTCTTTTTTTACCAAAGCGAAGCGAAGGGGGACT